GACCCCCGAGACCCCCAGAGACCCCCAAACCCGGTTCAGGTTCTGGAGGCCACGTGGGGAGAGGCTGAGCTGCTGCCCCCAAACTTCCTTCATCTGTCAGGACCAACAGCAAAGATCACTCGTGCTCTGCCCCCCAATACTTTGGAGCCCAATCCCCAAATCATCTGCTGTCAGAGCATCACTCAAGGGGATGCCTTTTCCCCTGTGAGCATTATCTTCTTTCCCCCTAGCCAAGGGGCCCCCAATATTGGAGCACCTCTCAAGAAGATGCCTTACCTCCGTGTGATTTGCTTTACCTTCCTAACCTGCAGTCCCCCACGACTGGAGCCCAATCCCCAAACCATCTGCCATCACAGCATCACTCAAGGGGACCCTTCCCCTTCTAAGCTTCATCCCCTACCCCAGAGTTCCCCAACATTGAGGAGACATCTTGCCCCCCATCCGTGTTATTTGTGGCAGCCCCCAGCCCCAGCACCACCCACCTTGCTCTGCCAGGGAGGGCTGATCCCAGCAGGATGAGCCCCATCCCATCCTCCTGCATCCATCCCTATGTGCTACCCAGACATCTGCTCACTCCTGCAGGGACACTCCACTTCCCACTGTGACAGACACAGAGGTGGCTGATGGACATGTCCTGTCCCCAGGGTCTGTCCTCTCCACGGGGGCACTGGCATAGGGGGCTGTAGTATGTTGAATCCCCAATTGAAGTGATCCCACTGCCCATCAAAGGCTGTTAGGAGGAAAGACTTGGGAGTTTGCTCCTCCCGTGCTGCCCCAGCTGCAGGGCAGAGTCCCTGACCCTCAGCCAGGGAGAGGCAGCCCCAGGGGCCTGGCCCAGACCCAGGCTCATAAACTGCTTCTATTTTAAGGGCTTGGAGACAATTTTTCTTAATTTATCGAGCCCCAGGCCAGGAGCTGGTTCCAAAGGAAATGTTTCCTTAGTAAAGAAGGGAGCCACAGAGGAAGCTTTAAATGCAGCCTCTGCCTCTTTGCCTTATCCAGCAGCTCCCAGGCAGTGACCTGGAAAAGCAGAGCCAGTTCTCAGCCACCAGCACGAAAAGCATCATGCCAGGGGAATAGGCAAACAAGTGTGTGGGGAGCATTAGGAGCACCAGGAGTACCAGACAGCAGTCAGGGGGATGTGGGACAGCAGGGATGCTTCCACCAAACAGCCCACCCTTGAGGCAGAGGTGCCTGAACCCCCAGAGAGGGACAGTCATGTCCTTGGGAGCTACAACCTGCCAGGCTGTGCCTCCAGCCACAGCTCACCCCACTCCCTAAAGGAGTTATCCCATAGGCAGGAAAACTATCAGTCTTTCCTATCCTCCATTCCCTGTGTAATGTTCCTGTTCCCACCAGACTGACCATCACTGCTGTGTCCCAGCCAGAGCTGAGACCCTCAAGCACAGCAGTGGTTCCCACACCTCATGGACAACAGACAGATAGTCCATGGGGTCTGACCAGTGCCAAGGGCAGAAGGACAGCAGCTCACATGGCTCTGCCTGGGCCTATCTGTCTGCCTACATAAATTAATCAGAGCTAATTGGCTTTTAGGTAAGTCTTCTTTGCAGGAGCTCTGTAAGAATGACTTTGAAGTGGGACTGCAAGTGGCAAAATCTTTATTTAACACACAGTGCTATGCAAGGACAGGCTCCCAGCCCCAGCACCACTCCCTGCTCCCCTCAGCATGGATGCCAACAGGTTAAAATCTCACGGGATAACTTTCACTTCCCATTAAGTGCACCCAGTTTATTTACATCTCACTGGTTACAGGAGACAAACAACATTCACCAGAGGTGACACTTGACGAGAGCTGGCTGTGCCCGGTGACAGGACACTAAATACTGGTGCCACAGAGCCTTTTCCAAACAAGGGGCCCAGCTCTTCCCATCCCCACACTGCCAGGATGGGACCATCCCTCCCAGTTGGAAGGATGCAATGCTCTGCAGTGGTCTGGGATATGGATGCTCCGGGTCAGATATGTGTGTGATGCACAGATCCAGCACAGAGACCAGTTGCTCCAGCTCCACTCTGCACCAGTTTTGAGATTATTATGGAAAAAGAGGGAGCTGTCTTCCCCCGCCCTGGTCACACCAAGCTGCTTTTATTGTGAGTTCCCAGCCCTGGGCTAAGCAGATCCACGCTGCGTAGTTAAGCTGTTAAGCTTGCCTGAATAGGGCTGCTCTGTGTGCAGCTGCTCAGAGCCACTCAGAAATATACACATACATTCATAGTCTCCCCACACCAAGAAAGGATTTAGACCTTTTCCAGCTCAGCTCTCCACTTAATAAATAATTGGCTCCAGAAGCACAGCAGTGATCCAAGCCTTGAGAGCGTGGAGGCAGAACCTGCAGCACAGCCAGTGCCAGTGCAATGGCTCATCCCTCCCTGGGGCTCTGGGTGCATGGCAGGGCTCGGTCACTGCTCCATCCTCCCAAGCTGGAGACTGAGACAAGGGACCTGGCTGGGAGGAAGGTGTGAGGGGTTGGAAAGGGGGAGCACAAAGCTGGGATGGCAGTTGTGGGGCTCACTCACCACCACACCACCTACAGTTGGATTTGTGCTGGGCTGAGCATTGCCCAGCTGTCAGTGGGGCTTCACCCCTGGCCACAGCACATCCCAGCCCCAGTGCTCAGCCTCAACAGCAGCTTTGGTGTCACTGGCATAAGTGTCACAGGGTAGGGGACAAGGGGTGACTGCAGCAGGTACAAGTGCCCTACCAGCCCCATGGCTGTCTCACAGGGCTGGACCCATTGCAGCCAGGGTGTGGGGCACAGGATGCTCCGAGGAGCTGGGGAGCCTTCTGGCTTTTCACAGCATTGAGAAAGTAGCAGCACAAAAACATCCTTCAACCCCAGTCTTCACTCTCTATCCAAGGCCTCTCCATCTCCACCCAGGCCTGGGATGCAACCAGGTGGAGGGGGATGCTCTGGGCAGGGGCACAGACTGAGGCTCCAGGTTTCTTACTCTTCTTGCAGTCGGTTCAGGAAAGAAGTGCTTGGGGAGAGGTGGCCCTGAGGCAGTGTCACTGTCCTGCTCGTCTCCATCCAGGCAAGGCGAGCCCTGCTGCCCCAGGCTCACCAGGCATCACGTGTAGTTGCCTGGCCCACCCAGAGGGATCACAAAGACAGAGATGTCATCACCAGAGCCCAGCTTGTCGTTGGCCAGCCGCCAGCCCCGCTCCTTCAGCACCCCCCGGGACCGCACCACCAGCTCCTGGGCCACCATGGTGTACCTGGGGGCAGAGAGAGCACGGCTCAGCAGTGACCCCAGACCCCCTGAGGCAGCCTCCTGCAGTCCCTGGCAAGGCAGGAGAAGCTGGAAGAGCTAGATGTGCAGAAAAGGGTCCCTTGGAGAGATCCAAGCTGATATGCACACCCAGGGGAGCAGTGCTGCAGAGCCCAGAGGGATGCATGGCCAAAAGAGCCAGGCCAAGGGAAGATGTTGGAGTGCAGGACACAGTTGTGCCCCTGCCCACTTGCAGCTCACCTGCATGGGTCATTGGGCTCGTAGCTTGTCAGCACCTCCATCACCACACCAGCCACCTCCTTGTCGTTGGTGACATCCCAGAGCCCATCAGTGCCCAAGACCAGAACATCATCAGGACAGTGCTCATACTGCGTGAGGTCGTAAACCCTAACCTGGCAAGCAACAGGGCAAGATGTGAGGGGCAGAGAGGCAGAGGAGGTTCCCACTGCCCTGGGCACATCATGGATCTGGTCATACTGAGCAGCTCCAGATGTTGCAGAAACCCCTGTGTGCAGAGCAGCCAGGCTTACCTCTGGGAAGCAGGACAGGAAAGGCTTGATGTGGATGTTGGAGCTGAACACCTTGAGGTCATGGTCTCCCAGGCCTCGTGTGACTCCAATGGTGGCCATCATCCGAGCCTGGAGAACGTTGGAATCAAAAGAAAACTTTCAGCCACTTCATCTCCACCTCCATTCCCAGCTGAGAACTGGCTCTAGCAAAAAGAGGCTGGAAATCCCCAAATTAGTGAGAGCAGGCAGGAAGTGACACCCCCCAGCTCCTGCCAAAGCACTTCACCTTTTTGCCTTCCCCGTAGATAAGTGGAAACTTCAGGTCATCCTCTTCTATCTTTTTGTAAGCCCTGGTTAAAATAAGCCAGAGACAAGGTGTCAACACCTCCCCAGTGTGCCAGAGCCCCCTGCCCTGTGGGAAGGGATGCTGGAGCCAGGTGGCTGATGCAGCAGGACCCCAGTGCCACCAGTGGATTGGGGGTTACCAGCCATTCATGTCCTGGTCCCTGTATAGCATCTTCTTTCCCAGCTCCTTGGGCTGGATCCTGCGAGGGAACTCCAGGTGGGTGAACTCCTTCCCCAGCAGCTCAGGCCTCAGCAATGCCTGTGGGAAGAAGCAGCAGCTCAGCCATCAGGCTAGGAGAGTGGGATCTGTGGATCCAGCTCTGCCCAGACACAGCACCCACCAGCCCACTGAGCCTTCAGCTATGGTATTCCATGGTGGGATAACGTTGGCTGCTCTGGAGCAACTCAAACAGATGCTGGTAAAGCAGCTTCAAACCACCCACCTGTGCCATACCCAGAGGGAAAACACCAGAGCTGGGGACAGCCATGCCAGCACCCAGCAAGAAGATGAAGCTTTTGCATAGAGAGTTTTGGGAAACAAGGATCTCCAAAAGGGACGAAAACCTAGAAAATTCCAGGAGAAGCTGGAATTTGTCCAGGAGGAGTCACAGCTGCAAATGTCCCAAGATCCCAGGCTCAGCACAGGGCATGGCACATGAGGAAAAGAGTGATGAGTCTTTTCCAAAACAGTGTCCTGGCCATGGCCAGGACAAGCAGCAGCACAGAGCCCTTCCAAGGGCAGCCCCAAGCCTTCCTGGAGCATAGCGTGCAGGGGGCTGCAAAAAGGGACAGAAAATACAGATAGGGGAAGAAAGAGCTGAAAAAGAGGAAGAGATCCCTTGGCAAGAGAGGGGGAGGGATCAGTGCAGAGGCATGGAGACCCCTGTCCCACTCCAGGGCACTGTGTGGCAGAGCAAACGTGTGCCTGTCTGTCCCTGCCTGTGCCCTGCCCAGAGCAGCCAGCTGGAGAGGATCCTGCTCACAGCAGTTTCCTCCTCTCGGTCATTCAAAAATAGACTCAAGAAAAAACACCTCAGTGTTTTTCCAAGTACGTTGCAAGCCAAGAAATCACATCCAGCAAGACCTTCTCCAACACAAACGCCTCCTCCCCTGTGCTGTCCTCAGAGAGGTCTTTATAACCTTAAAAAGTCTCCCTGGGTGGCACTGGGGGGTTTGGCCAGGACAGGGACAGGGAGCTTTCAGGGAGAAAGCCAGAAACCCTCTGGCACGTGTCAGCTCTGCCTCCCCAGGGAGCAGCTGGGGAAGAAACTAGGACTTGGCGGGAGCACTGCGGCTCCTTGGACCGTGCTAGGGAGCACAGCGGGTGGAGGGAGCAGAGCTGTGCTCCTCCTGCTCACAGCAGCCCAGACAGGGGATGCTCCCTGCTCTCTGGCCACGAGCAGGATGAGATGGACCAAACTGGCTCCATGCAACTGAACCAATCTGGCTCCGGGATCACCAGTCAGATCAGGCTTACAGTCACAGCCTCTCACACTGACCCCGCAGCAAACCAGGGCTCTGCCAGCCAAGAGATGCCCCACGCCAGCTCCCCACATCCCAGTGCCTCTCCCCATCCCAGCCAGCTGGCTGGGATGGACAAGTGCCATGAGCAGGTCCCAGCTTTGGGGCTGCCCTCAGCCCTGAGACTCCACCATGGCAGCAGCCTGGCAGGCAGCGTGAGGGGCTTAGGAA